CTTTCTCTTTCAGCACTTTCTCTTTCAGCACTTTCTTTTTTTGTTCTTTCTACTTTCTATTAGTTTGTATTAATTTTTATGTTCTTTGTAAATCTTTTAATAAAATTTATATATATAAAAAAAGAACTTACTTCCAGGAAAAATATAGATACAGGTAGTCCTCATTTAGCAACCACAAATGGGACTGGCAACTCAGTTGTTAAGTGAAGTGGTCGCTAAGTGAAACCACGACTGTGTGTACAATCATATTTCAGCTTTCCTTTGCTTTACAGACTTGTGAAGGTCATATATGCAAGGATTGGTCACAAAGTTACTTTTTTATTACCATCATAACTACAAGTGGTCATTAAACAAGGCAGTCGCTAAATGAGGACTACCTGTATTTAGATAGCAATGCTTATTGTTTGCCAATGAAGGCAATGGAATTATTCCATTAAGAGCAGTGTTTCTGTTCTTCCAATCAGCTGATTTCTGCCACCCCAACCCCCCAAGAATCTATGTCCAATAGGACAACATTGGAGTGTTTCCATAAGATATTTATGCATGGTTAACCATGTTTATCGAATCCATCCACCAAATTCTGTAGGTTCGCATAATACACTGAATGAAACACACACACACAGGCTGGGCTTGCACAACACTCTGAAGTGGAAAAGCTGTTGAGTAGTATGTGATCCACATGCAAACCCAGCCATTCTGTCTCCATTTAATGAGTGGTCCCCCAAAGACGAGAGAGAAAATGCATAAAGATAGTACCAAATCTGAGCTGCAAAAATAGGTATCACAGCAAAAGGATATATAAAACTCTGATTCTCTACTTCTGTCTTGTGGTCATCTGGATGTCTGCAGGCCAAATCTGATAGCCCGAATATGTAGGATGATGAAGGTGAAGGAAACTAGCCCAAGGGTTAAGCAATGGGTGGCTCTCTAGATGTTGCTGAATTGCAACTTTCAGTATCCCTTACCATTAATCAGATTGGCTGAAGCTGCTGGGAACTGTAGTTCAGCCCTACCTGGAGGGCCTATCCCTAGGCTACATCATAAAAATTTTATACTTAATGAAATTATCAAAGGCAGAATTCATGCATATAGGTCAGTGATCACCATTCAGTCTAATGAGTAAAAGCTAAGAACTATCCTTAAGCAGTACTGAGGCAGAAAAATCACTTTGGACTCCTGAAATTAGGTAGTCTTGCTATGCTTGTAAATACACCTCATGTAAGTGCCCTTGCTCAAAATACTGCTTACCTCAGAGTAATTATCTACACTTAATTAGTTAAAAAATGTGCATGCTGACTATACACACAATATGGTATTTTAAAAATTATTAAATAAATAAAACATCATCATTATATATAATCATGAAAATACTATGTAGAGTGTTTCTGCAAGTATTAAAGTTGGACATTTCTCTCTATTGACATATGCACCCAACCAGTTCTGAGATAATATCTGAGCTGTGTTTGTACGACACACCAATCCATGGTTAACTGAACTACAATTTACTGAATTAACCTGAATTAATTGCCTGATCTGCAGAATACACTACACCATAAACTAATCATACTATATAACATACTGAGCCACAAACCAGCCAGTGACATGTTAGCTGAGCAAATCCAGTTCTTATTTCTTATTTTCCACCGGGCAGAAGCAGAACTACCACGAGCAAATGTGGAACCTCTCCTATCGTTGGTGTTACTCTATCTGCATCTTTCCTCATCCTGGTGTTTTCCAGATATGATGGATTACAATTCCATCACCAGCAAGGAACTGCGAAGAAACAAAGAACAATGGAAACGTTCTGCATAGGAAACAATAGGAAAATTCCTGGTGGCCCCTTTGACAAATACCTAGTTTTTGATACAGTACAACAGTGCCAAGAAAAGCATCTGATAAATTGACACCCTGTGGAGAAGCCTGAATAGATGAAATTGCTATTTTTAAAAAAGCCTCCCCCATGTAATCATAGAATGGAAGAAAGGATGAAAATTAGTTAGACCATTTAGCATTTGACTGCATAGTTGTTAGAAGGGTGAGTTCAGCAGCTACAGGTACATGATTTGCTGGCTAAACTCCTAACACCAAAATGGGGCACTTTCCTTGACTGAGCAGAACAAGAGTCAGTCTCCCCAGAAAGGTTGCCTTTCAGTTATTATCCCCCACCCTCTGTGAAGCTGAATGCTTGGGAAGGAGAAGGCCTGTGTAAGAACTCCCAAGCAGGAGGCCCAAATGATCCTTCTCCAGTCATTTTCTCTGCAACAAATTCTTAACATGTGCTGAAACCCAAGATCTTATGCAAGTAACTAATTCAATGAGACTGACTGTATTGATTTTATTTGGAATTAGGGTTAGGCTGTATTCCTCCCCCCCCCAAACTTTTTATATTTAGAGTTTTGGCTCCATTGGTTTAGAAAGGAAAAGTCTCATGAAAACCTTCCATATGTGCAAGACCGCACAACTGTACAGCTACCTCTTAAGTTTGGCACCAGGGTTATTTAGCTTGTTCTTCTAGGCTTTAGAAGGAGGCTCCAAAGCATCTTCCTTTCTATTTTTCCAAGCGTTTGAGGGGAGAAATCTTGGAGAGAAAAGCTAGGAACTCCCCAGTGAGACAAACAAGGGTGTGTCAGGAAATTCAGCCTGAGAAACAGCAGCCAATCACAATAATACTTTATGGGCAGTCTTTGAAAGACAGACTCCACCAGTAAGCTTTTAAATGATCCTCCGTTCCCATTAATCCCTTTTTCAAACCGACGT